GTCGGGAAGCTGCGATCGCTCAGGGGTGAACGGGCACCGCATTTCGGCCCGAACGAAAGGGGGGGGGGATAGGGAAAGGGGGGATTACGAAATCTGCTGCATGCAGCTCGTTTCGGCCCCGCCGCCAGGCCCATTCCTGGATACAAGGGCGCCTCCCAGCGCCACCGGAAGGCGCTGGGAAAATCAGCTACGTGAGCTGATTCTCAAACCCCACCTTTGCTATCCCCGCCTTTCGCCCGGCCCGAGCATTGTCAGAAATCGGCGGCGAGCGAGGAAGGGGAAGCGAGAGGGAAAAGGCCCTCTCAGAAGACGGCGGGGCTTCCCAGAAGCCCTCGCGCCTTCTGAGAAGTGTTCTGCGTCCTCGGGGAAGGCTCAGGGAACTTCTTCTCAGAAGGCTTGGGGGATTTCCGAGCCTTCTGAGAAGACTTTATTTTTCTTCGTCTTCTTTGAATGATTATTCCTATTAGTATTATTATTATTATCACTTCCCTCCCTCGCTCGCCGCCAAAGAAAGCAGCGCCCGCGTCGTCACACACCGAGCCTGCAGCAAAAAGAGGGCACAGGACTCGTGGTGCCCTCCTTCGGCGACGAGCCCGAGGGGGGAGTGAGAAGTGTTTTTAAGCTTCAGAAGGCACCAGGGCTTCTGAGAAGTCCCGCCGCCTTCCGAGAAGGCCTTCTCCTTCAAGCAGTGGCGAAGCGTCCCGGCGTGCCCATAGGCCTACCAAACAATATTCTAAGAACCTTATGTGGTTTCCACGAGATGTGCTTAGAACATTTCTGGCTGGGACTGTCTTGTTTTAACCCGGGCTTATGTTCGAATATTGTGTTCCGTACTCGGAACATGTTTGGGATCTAGAGAGCATGCCGTGGTAGGACTGTAGGAATGCCGGGACGGTCGGTCCCTGCTCAAGATTCTCTTCCCCACCTCGCTCGCTGCGGACTCTCGGGACGCTCCCGGGCCGAGGCGCAACAAAGACTGCAGCAGCATGCGCGGGCGCAGCTCTCTGCGCGGTTTTTTGTTCTGCGGCGCCTCGGCCGCCGCTCCCGGCGCGCCGCGCCGCACGGCTTCGCTGTCGCTGGCAGGGGCCTATTCGCCGATCAATCTGCGATGCATCGCCGATTCCAGGTCGACGTCGTTCCCCCCCCCCCCCCCTTTAAGCCACTACCCCCCGCCCCACCCCCGAGCGTCCCTTCTCACTGTGTGGCGGCGCGCGCAAGGGGCAGGGAGAGGGGGGGGGAAGGCTTCTCAGAAGGAGGCTGCTTCTCTGAAGGCGACTGCCCTACAGCCAGCTATAGACGAGGCCCGCGCCTTCGAAGGAGCAGCCTCCCTCTGAGGAAGCCTTCCCTCCTCCCCCTCTAACCCCCTCCCGTGCGCGCCGCCAAGCTGTGCCTCCTCCCCCTGGGCCCCCAGCGCCCCGCAGGATGGAGGACGCGGCGAAGAAGTTCCTCCCCGACGTCGTCTGCTTCTTCTGGGACGACCGGGACGGCGAGGCGCGCCTGCTGGCGCGAGCAGCGGGGGGAGGAGCTGGGGGGGAAGGCGCCGGGGCTCGAGAGACGGGGGTCAGTGCAAACGGGGGTCAGCCAGCGCCAGGTCTTGCAGGATCCTGCAGGGCCAGCGCCGCCTTAATCCAGGCTCGGGTGCGGGATCCTGCAGGATCCTGCAGGGCCTGACCGGCCCGGGTCTGTGTAGGCCCGGGCCAATCCCCGAAGAGGGGGGGGGGATCAGGGGCAACGTCGGACGGGGCGGATAGGCTCAGCGGGGGAGGGGCTCGAGAGCTCAGGGTGCGAGGTGTTCGGGCATTCCCGTCGGGCCTCGGCGGCTTCCCTCGGGGTGCCTTCAAGCGGCTGCGTCTCGCCGAGAGCATTCGGGGCTGCCCGGATCTTCCCGAACGACCGCTGGAGATCCGAGTCATGACACCGAAACTTCAGGGGCACCGTCAGCTTGGATAGGCTCAGCCGGGGACGCATCGGGGCCCGGAAGCGCACCCCGCCCCGAAGAACCTCGAGTAGGGGAACGACTACAAAATCGATTCACCCCCAGATTCATTTTTCAGTCGAACCTACGATCAATACGAAGATTGCTTCGTAGATCTATGAGTTTTCTATGCGTTCTTCGTAGTAAGTCAATTTTAAAATCGAGGTCAAGTTGGGGTAGGTTCATTCTTCTACGAGTCGTTCTGCGAGAAACGAGAAAGTCGATTTCGGGGTAAGTCAATTCTGTAGCCGATCTCCTCTTCGAGAACCCGCGGACACGCCGTCGGGGGCCCATCGACGGCCTATCGCTGCGGTGAACCTCCGAGCCCTGGCCCGAGCCGAGTCCTCCCCTCGCTCGGCGGCTCGCCCAGGAGGGGGGGAGAGAGCGCGGGGGGGCAGGCCTCCCCGGAGGGCGGAGGGGGCATCTGAGAAGCACGTCGCGCCTCCTGGAGGAGGAGGAGGAGGAGGAGGAGGAGGAGGAGGAGGAGGAGGAGGATACAGGAGGAGGAGGATACAGGAGGAGGAG